GACAGCAAAGCACGCTCTGAGAGAGCAAAGCACACTGCGTGTAGTAAGCAACACAGTGCGTGTTTGAGCAAAGTACACTGTGAGAGCAAAGCACATTTTGTAGGGAGCAAAGCACACTCAGTGTGTGTCTGTTTGAGCAAAACACACATTGTGCGTGAGAGAGAGCAAAGCACAGCGTGTGTAGTGAGCAAAGAGGGACGTGGGACTCTTCAGCCTGGCAGACAGAAGGCTCAGGGGGGACCTGGTGGCTGCCCATAAGTATATCCGGGGGGCGAATCAGGACCTGGGAGAACAGTTGTTCACCAGGGCTCCCCAAGGGATAACTAGGTCTCACAGCCACAAACTTCTTGAGGGCCGATATAGACTCAATATAAGGCAAAACTTCTTTGCGGTCCATGTGTCCCGGGTCCAGAATAGACTCCCCCCAGAGGCGGTACGAGCCCCGACTCTGGACTCATTCAGAGGGCATTGGGATGTTTATCTTGCTGGGATCGTTCGATCCTGGCAGGCTTCCTGCCTCTGGCAGGGGGCTGGACTCGCTGAGCTCACGAGGTCCCTTCTAGCCCCTAATGTCTATGAAATGTATGAAAGCACACAGTGTGTGTGTGTGTGTGTGTGTGTGTGTGTGTGTGTGTGTGTGTGAGCAAAGCATACAGTGTATGTGTGAGAGCAAAGCACACTGTGTGTACTGAGCAAAGCACATGGTCTGTGTATGTGTTTGAGCAAAGACGCTATGAGAGGAAACCACACTCTGTGTCAGACCACAGCACTGTGTAGTGAGCAAACCACACCGTGAGGTTCTCACTGTGTGAGAAAAGTATACTCAGTGTGGGTGTGTGTGTGTAAGCAAAACACACTCTGTGTGTGTGCAAGAGCAAAGAACAGTGTGTAGCGAGCAAAGCACACTGTGAGAGAGCAAAGTGCTGTGTGTGTGTGTGTGTGTAGTGAGCAAAGCACACTGAGTGTAGTGAGCAACAGTGTGTGTGTTTGAGCAAGCACACTGTGTGTGAGCAAAGCACACAGTGTCTGTAGTGAGCAAAGCACACTCAGTGTGTTTATGGGTAAGCAAAGCACACCGTGTGTGTGCATGCAAGAGGAAACCACAGTGTGTAGTCAGCAAAGCGCTCGGTGTCTGTAGTGAGCATAACACACTGTGTGTGTAGTGAGCCAAGCACAGAGAGTGTGTGTGTACTGAGCAAAGCACAGTGTGAGAGCAAAGCACACTGTGTGTAGTGAGCAACACTGTGTGTAGTGAGTAAAGCACATGCTCTGTGTGCGTGCCTAGTGAGCAAAGTGCACGCTCTGTGTGTGTGAGTGAGAGCAAAGCACATTGTGTGTGTAGTGAGCAAAGCACACACAGTGTGTGTCCATGTGAGGAAAACACACATCGTGTGTGTGTGAGAGCAACAGTGTGTGTGTTTGAGCAAAGCACTGTGACAGCAAAGCACATAGTGTATGAGAGCAAAGCACACTGTGTGAGCAAAGCACGCATTGTGTGTGTGAGAGAGAGGGAGCAAAGCACACTGTGTGTGTCAGAGCAAAGCACAGACTATGTGTGTGAGAGGACAAAGCACTCCCTGTTTAGTGAGCAAAGAACACACTGTGTGTAGTGAGCAAAGGTCAGTGTCTGTGCATGTGTAGTCAGCCAAGGACACTGAGTGCGTGTGTAGTGAGCCAAGCACAGAGATTCTGTGTGTGTGTGAATTGAGCAAAGCAGTGTGTGAGAGCAAAGCACACTCAGTGTGTGTGTGTGTGTGTGTGTGTAATGAGCCAAGCACAGTGTGTAGTGAGCAACACAGTATGTGTGTGCTTGAGCAAAGCACAGACGGCGTGTGAGAGCAAAGCACTCTGTGTGTGTGTAGTGAGTATAGCACGTGTGTGTGTGCATAGTGAGCAAAGCGCACACTGTGTAAGAGCAAAGCACATTTTGTGTAGTGAGCAAAGCACACTCAGTGTGTGTGTGTGTGACAGTAAAGCACCCTGTGTGTATAGTGAGCCAAGCACACTGTGGATCTGTGTGCAATGAGGGAGGGAGAGGGCACAAGCGTGCACGCTCATAGGGTGAATCCCACCCGCACACGCCGCCATACACATGTGCCCCCCCTCACACCGCCACACACGCCAACCCTCACACCCGCCAGCCACCCTACCCTCTGCAAACCCCATAAGCAGCCAGACCCCACATATCCGCACCCCCCATATGCTCCCTCCCCGCACACACCTACAACCCCCCACAAACTGATGCCCACTCCCCTGCCCCCACGCCCCGACACCATGCATGAGCACTGCACGTTAAGCCAGTGCCCCACCTAGCCGTCACCCGGCTGCGGCGCGTCTGGCCTTTCTTTGCTACGAGGAAATCGCAGCCTCACCTCGGTCTGGCCTCTCTCGCCAGATCTGCGGGTGATGGTAGGAGCAGCCTCTCGGGGGGAGTATCGGCTTTTGCTGCACGCTGGGAGTGGGCTGGTTCCTGCCAGCAGGCTCAGCAACTCGCGGGCCCCTGTGATCTGCGCGCCCCTTTGGGTGCAGCAGCCGGCGTTAAGCAGCAGGCCTCAGCCAAAGACATAACCGAGCGCGGGTGCCTGGAGGCTGGCGGCGCCGACTTGCGCGGGGGCCGCTACCATGGCAATACAGGCGGGTCAGCGCAGGCCCGCTGCTGTGCCAGGGGTCCAGGTTCCTAGGGGGCTGCCGTTCGGAGCTAGACACCTCTCCGGGGCTGGCGTCTAGCTCGCCCCCCGGCCCTCTCCCCCCAGTATGTGATGGCATCCTCTGCAAAGCGTCGTCTTAGCTCAGCTTGCTCTCGTGCCGTTGCCAGCCTGCCAGGATATCGTTTGCGGCCGACCGTCTTCGGCCTTAGCTGAGGCGGGCTTGGCTACGGTAAAAGGACCGCCAGCCTTCGCCAGAGAAACCTCCAGGGACAACAGACCATCCTGCTGGCCTGCCTTCGGGGAGACGCGGGCAGTCGGGGCTCCTCGGGAAGCAGCAGCCCTGGGAACCCAGACGGCAGAGGAGGCTGGTGCAGGTGCTCCCGATGCCCCGTCTTCTCCCATCCTGCGAGCCTGAGGGCAGGCTCGCCAAGAGGCCCGGAAGCGAGTACAGGGGGTTTCGGCGGAGCGCCTTCCCGGCCTGGCGAAACGCTCCTGCAGCTAGAGGTGCCAGAGGAACGACAGAGAGCAGGAACTGGGGCCGCTAGAACAGGCCTCCACAGCCCACGGCCCGTGGCTCACTGTAGACCCTCGTCATGGAGCGGCCATGCCCAGGCAGGCAGGGCAAGCTCCCGGTGGGAGCAGGCATCGGTGTCACCATACGGCAGCCTGGAAACTGTCTCCACTTTGGGAGGGGGTGTGGGGGTGCCAAAAGCAAGAGCTTCAAGAAATTGTGGCTGCCTATATGTGTGCTGGGAGGGGGGGGG